AGCTTTTATGTTATAAAACTTGATTAGCAATGCGTCGCAAATGGCTGCAGTACAGAAGCGTGCGGTATCCAATCGCTTTAATTGACACTGTGAAATGAAAATTGAAAACTTGGTTATAATTGCAATGTAATATAATATTACTAAAAATCATCATTAAGTATATTAATGAGTGCTCTTTATTTTATTTTTAGATTTATCATAACAGAACATTCATAAAAAATTTAATACAAAACTGAAGATTAACTTAATATATCATTCAGGATAATAATTAATAACAGAAAAACAGTACTTTTCAGGCGAAACGTAAAAAAGAACGATACATTACACGAGTGTCACGACCCTTGTAAATGAAGAAATATCGTGATAAATATCGCACTGTTGCTGAAATATCGAACGCGCCACGAAATATTATATAATAATAATAATATCTAGCGATACATTAAAATATCATTATAATGTATCGCTAGATATTTTAAATACTTTTAATAACTCACTATCGAAAATATTTTCTTGCAAAAGAAACGCAAATGACAGTTGGCATGTGGCCAGTGCTATATTGCTTTCTTTTCTTAATCATTATATTGGACAACGCATGTATGACAAATATTATAAAATAATTTAAATTATTTCATGCTGTATTCAAACTAAATGGGATTTAACAAATATATAATAATGATTATAATTGAAAAAAATATAAGTACTCTTTTAATTCAATTAATGTAATTAGCGTTAATTTTTCCTTACCTCCGAACTTCCCGTCTTTTCGCATCACTACATTTATTTAAAAAGCAGCGTTGAAATGGTATGATTAAGTGATAATAAGGGCTCGTGTACCTGTCCGAACGCAACCGTAAGAAACCTAGCAAGGCGACCCGCGCCAATCGCATCCAGCGAGCAACTAACGCCCGGGCTGCTCGTGGCGCCGCACCTCTCGCTTGCAATAACACCACGCACCGAAAACCACGATGCACACCACCTGCTGGTGCAACCTCACCGAATCGATGTTTTTTGCAAACTGCCTGAAACGGAGGGACACGCACTGCGCGGGGGACGGTCTTGCGCGTTGCGTCACGTCACGCATCTCGCCTTCTTGAGCCCGCAACCCGCCATCTGCAACGCACTCCCAGGGGCTACGCTACGCAATTCATTACTGATCGTTGTTCAAACGGAATAGCAATGTCCTTGTAAGTATTAAATTTAAGCTTTTAGATTGACGAGAAACTGAATTCACGTAATAAAAATTGCTAATTATTATACGAACAGTAAATAATTTAGATTAGATATGAAAACAAATTCAAATATTAATTTATACAGTGAACTGTGACTCATTTAAATTATGCAAAGTGAAACGTTGCTATTCAACGCGGACTTTTAGCACAGCGAGCTCTTTATTAAAATACTTTTAAATGCATATTTTCAAGTAAGAAATAAAAAATGTATATTTTTTGGAATTGCATTACATTTTTCAAAGTGTTGACACTTTAATTTGCGAATAATTATCACACTTGATGACACTACTAACTGCAACAAACACTATCATTTGGTAATGTTATTATTTCTTATCTATAATAGATTATTCATATCGGTAAACTTAACTGTTAATTTCGAAACAAGCTATTGAATTTTTAAAGACAATCCTTTGAAGTATTCTAAATCCTATTTTCACTTAGCCAGTCTCAGCCAAGTTGGCGCCGCTGTCCTGCGTATGCCAAAGCAACGTGCCAGAGTTTTATTTCATATCATAAATTTCGATAATTATCGTAAACAATGGATAAATGCTATTTAAAACTTCACTGAAATTTTACAGCGTGTTTAAACATTGCAAAAATAAAATATAATTGAGCGCTTTAATGTTTACATGGCGCATTTCGGATATTTTCAGAATGAGTCAAAATTAATAAATAAGACAAATTAATTTAGAAAGTTTAAAAAAAATTTAGGTATAGTAATGTAATACGGAAGAAGTGTTCAGAGACAATCACAAATACTATAGTAGGTACGTAGGAAGGCGACAATTTAAGTCTTCATCTTTGCTTTCTTTGGTTCACTCGGCGGACATGGAGTACACCACCCGTACGGTAAGGGTGGACCTTTATACTGTAAAGTTAGCTTTACAATTCTTTCAGCTTCTCTTATCCCGCTCAGGCGAGCCGCAGCGACTGTTCCGTTCATACCAGGAACCGTTGCCTCCCCAGCAAATAACAGTATGGGTGGTATTGGCTCACTCGGTCCTGGAACAGGACATGCAAGACTTCTTTGCGCATACCCATCAGTATTGGCACAGTCGGTTGAATACGCTCCCAAGAAATAAGGATCAGAAGACCAAAAGGATCTTAACACGGTAGCAGGATATGGTATGTACTGGTTCCCTGTATACATCCTTAAAATCTCTGTTATACCTTCAGCTATATCTTTGTCCGTTAAATTTTCCATTACAGCAGCTTCTGGTCCTTCTACTAAAATACTGAGAACATGCTTGCTACTAGGTACCATTTCTATAGACCTTATCCCCCGAGTCCAATCACAACGATCTACTATTGAACATGGCTCAAATTTAAAATTAAGGTCGCCTTTGTGCCAATACCAAAACGGACGAAAGTATTCTAGGTATACTTTGTTACAAGCGCCTAAACATAAACATTTTAAAGCGTCCACTTTAGAGGCCGGTAGCGAAGGACAGAAAAGTTTCACAGCATTCGAACATAGCACTCCTATAGATGGAGTTAGAATGACATAGTCGGCCTGAAACTCTTCACCATCGGTTGTATAAACATATGCACGACAGCCCGACTTCATACAGGTACCCCAGTAAATGCAATTTACAGGTTTACAGTAACGTATTGCCCCTTCTGGAATTTGCCGCAAAAGGGGTGCCAATATACCGACAAGGCCTAAAGGAACACGAACGTCTCCCCCAGGCATATTCATATAACATCCAGAATGATCAGCACAGAGTAATCCTATATCATCTCCACACCTTGCTTGTAGCATGTGAGTAAGCCCAAACATTATCCTCGCAGCATCATGCTGCTGTTCTTCGGGGTATTCATGTAGTTCTTGTTGAATTCTCAAGCTCATAAAATTAATAAGTGAGCCTTGCTGTTTATTTCCACCGAGACAATATATTTGGGCAGCTTCTTCTTCGATCTGACGGAATTTATGATATGCCGAAATCGTTGAAGGGAAGGGCATTTTACCAGAGACGACATTATTAAATAAACCTCGGGGATGCTCAACACCAGGAACTCCTGGCCGAGGGGGATCCTCAAAAGTAGATAACGAATAGATTGGATGTGTTGCTACATTTTTAGGTGTCCAACTGGCACCGAGTTCAGCAACAATGTCACCTAGCCAACATGAAAGTATTCGGCCCCCGGGTCTGAAAAAGACATGTATGTCAGAAACAGGTGGGTCATAGGTGTATCAAGCAGGCTGTCAAATAAATTGTACCTTTCATATGCTTCCAGTATCACAATATTGTTAATACCCCGTTGAGATAATCGAGCAGCGGCTGAGAGTCCTGCCATTCCAGCACCAACAATCACTACACGTGGTTCTTCATAACATTTATCTGCATTACATGCCTCAACGCCACATATTCCGCGGTCTTCTAAATCTGGACCGCAATCAAACATCATGGGCGAACTGTCTGATTTCCTTTGCAAAAGAATAAGACATGTATATCTTGTTTATCTATCTATAAAAATATTATCGTGACTTTCAAACTTACCATCTTTTGATTAGATTTTGCCATTTGATTTTAGAAAAAAGTTTACTTGGAATTTTCATTTGTAAAGCCTTTGTTATAACTTCTATTAGGAAAACCTATTATTTATTGAAACATAAAATTTTGTCAATTGTATTCAAGTTTGGTGACCTTTGAAATATAGTAAAAGTTGATTGTATCAGTCAGTGTCAATCAAGAACTATAATCTATGAATCAAGTCCTTTATAAAGAATATTTCAATAGAAGTATAGTATGTGGATTGTTTATTCTTGCTACCTTTAGGCTTTCTGATAGGTTAGGAATAGGAATTCGGTAGAAAATCTAAACTACACTTAGAACTGGCATCTCTTAATGATAACAAAGTAGAATCAGCCTCTACTTGTGATAGGTGGATATTTTTGGGAGTCAGAATTATTTTTACATAGTATTGTTTTAGTTCGTAGTACATTGTCGAGATGTACGACTAACCTTTTTAATTTAGTACTCGTTTATTTAGTACTAGTTGGATACTCGTTTCTTTTATATAGGGACCCTAATAGCCAACCAACGCGATCGGATAGATCTATGGCTGAGACGCTAAACATCAGGGGATTTCTTTTGGCTTGGACTGGCTTTCATTTACTGACTACAACCCGCTTTTGTGGAAATTTATATTTTCAAAAGTAAATTGTCATCATCACTATTATATGTATAATATAGCCTTGTCTCTACGGGATCAAGTCTGATTCTTACCCTAAAAACCAGTAGGTCTCTAGCAGCGAAATCGTATTCTTCAATTTTTTATTAGGTTATTTTACTACACTAAAAATCTGTTATAACGACAGCGAAGGGACTACTCATATTTGATCGTAGAAATCGATAGTCGTAAGTCGTAACAGCCGATGACGTTGTTATTAAGAACCTAATACAAAAGAATTTAGCCGGGACCTTTGATTTTGGTCAATATAACCAGTATGTCTTAACGATGTCGTCGTAAACGGTTTTGACTGTATATTTATTTATTCCTTATGTAAATGATATAATTTTATTGTTTATTTTTTTTTTTTTACATAATAAATCTAATTAAGTTAGTATTAAACTGTATTTAGTAATACATTTTTTAATATTTTTACTTAACGGTGGAAATAAAACAATTTTTACTTACATTTTACATTTATTAATAATTTTTAAACCAATATTTTATTCAAACACACTCTATGGCAGATCATTAATAAATTTAAAATAGATACAAAATATTTCGGCGTTAAAATCACAGTCTTTAATACTTTAAGATTTATAAATTAAAACATTCAGACCAAAAATGGTCCAGCGTGTGGTAAAAGTGTCGACTCACACCGCGTAAAGAATGGTTCTCGTCGGCGTAACTCTGAAAAGAATATATGAAATTGAAATACAGCAATTTTGGCCGAGTTGTTTAAACGTCTCTCAACCCTGTGGTTGTGCATTCAAATCCCGGTGCACCAATGAATTTGATACTTCATTTTTGTATTTCTTGTATTAACTTTTGTGTGTTTTTGCTTTTCAGACCAATTTATTTTCCAACTATGAAGTACAATCAACATTAAAACAGTCTGTGCCAATACTCTGTAACTTCCAATAGCCATGCAATCCTGACAATTTTCAGGCTAAACCAAAGTTGCGAAATCAGCGACACGACACGGATATCAAACTATGTATTTCGAAATGGATACAAAAAAGTCAAAGAGAGTAAGTTGAATGCTCGTGAATCGTACTAGTCTATAGTCTTTTGTGCTTTGACTGTGTATACGAATACTTTGTTAGTTATACGTTATGGCCCTAGATGGCGCTGAACAACAATAAGATTAATTAGCTAAAACCTTTTTTCTTTTTAATTAAACAATTTGTTTAAAAAAGTCTTTATATTATATTTTTACATCTAGACAATAGGTAATATTTTGTTTTACTATAAAAGAGAAGATTCTGGAAAATCGCATACTTACGCGAATTTTTTATGTAGGTATGCGTACATACACAGGGGTGTCATGTAAGAACGTTTTAATTATAAACAACAAATGAAAATAAAATAACATGCTTTTTAGTTTTGTTTTACATTTAAAATAAGATGTAAATAATCAGTAATTTATGAAAATATCCAACATTTAAAATTTTGATTTTCATACTTCAGTCACGTGACACAAAACGGTAACAGATTGGTCGAATTTACAATGACTTATATTCAGCGATATTTACCATTTGTTCGAAAGCAATATCTGCTCTTTGCAACTCCTTCGCAAACTGCATGCTATGCTGGAAGTGGACGTTGTCATCTCCAGTCCCATGCACTATGAGGTACCGGCGCCCGCGCAGCTGCTCAGCTTTCGACATTAAATCAGCCCTTCTATATCCTTCTAAGTTCTCTTCTGGAGTATCCATATAACGCTCCGTGTACATTGTGTCTGAAATTGTTAGATTAATAGAAATATATTTATTTTTAACCGACTTTAAAATAAAAACAATGAAGGTTATTGTAGAAAAAAACCCTTTTAATATATATTTTTAATAAAAACCGAATAGACTGTTGTGCCTTTGTGAATTCAAAAACCGTATTTTTTCTCAAAAATTACTATAAATCACTTACATTACATTTTAACTTAACAACCAAGTTATTATTTTGCATTGCTTAAGTCATAAAATATCCTCATTATTTAAACATAATTTTGCACATGGCGTTTTAATTCAAACAACACCAGGAGGTTTGCAAGTAAGTAGCCGGCTTTTAAGGTATATACGCACTTCTATTGAAAGTCCCTAAGTCTACTACATATTTTTAAATACTCACCATAATAAAGCCATGAGGTAACAGGGGCGACTGCAGCGCCGCAAGCGATAAGATGTTCTTTATCTTGAACCAGCATCATGGTGGTGGCGTACCCGCCATAACTCCAGCCCCATACACCAATACGTTTTGGGTCAATGAATTTATACAATTCAACCAATCGCCTAAAAATATACCAAAGTGTTAGAACCTCTCCTACGTTCGATTCGCGGCAAATGTATGGTTTCGGATCAGTTTAATGCCTTAAATTTACCGAGTAAACAGTTTTTTTTTAAATATTGTAAATAAACTAAGAGACAAAACTAATAAGGGGTTATCTTTGTTCCTGAAGGGCGACACTATAGTACACATTATTTTACTTTAAAACTAATGAGTTGCCGGTTGCGTGTATATCTCAAGACCTTATTATTAGAACCATTTTATCAAAAGTTATTCTATTTCTTGTAAGCTTCGATATATTTTACTGATTTTGTTTCCTATGCTACTACGAATAGCGAGAATAAAAACTAAAACTAGGCGAAGAATTATGAAATAAACAAGTTTAATGCAATTATGTAGAACCGAAACATTGCTAAATATTTGTTAACAGAAACAATATTTTTGTGTATCAAAAAAGTTCAGAAATAAATTGTGTTGTTATATCTAGGAAAACTATTGATTATAATAAATATATATAATAATAATGTTTTTATTTGCCACAGAGCAGTGTTGCCCTAGTGGCTATAGCGCGCGTGATTCATCCCTTAGGTTGTAAATTCGATCCCCAGCTATACACTCCCTGGTACGTGGTATCGAGAGGAAACAGGCATGCCCTAGACCCAAAAATCTGTCTGTCACCTATATAAAGAGCAAATGATCATGATACAAAAATCTGTGCCCCAGACCTAAAGATTGTAGCGCGATTACTATTTTTAAAGCGATTCATATGATGGATTTCAAAGAACTGCATCAGCAATATTAACTTAGCATATAAAATATAATGAATAACAATTTAATTATTTATAACTTCCACTCCGTACACTGTGCCTTAAATCTAAGCCTTCCCTTGACAACGAGTAGAAGGTAACTGTAAATTCCTGGATGGTGAATAATTAAGTGTGATCGTGAGGTATTTATTATGGTATGAAACATAAATATATAAAAACTATAGACCTTTTAGCAAAAATGGGCTATTTGTCAGTATGAAAAATAAATTTGAGAATAATCTTTATAAAACATGGCTTTTAAAAATCGTTATGGAGTAAAATAATCATTAAAACCATTGACGTCAGTCACGTGACACAAAACGGTCACAGATTAAACGAATCGACGATGACGTATTTTTGTAAATGATGTCAAAATGACAATGAACGCTTAGTGCGTGACGTGACGTAACTTGACGTTTGTTTACGTGTGTACGCTTGGTACTCTATGACGTACTCGTACGACGCCATCTTGTATAGCGTTTTGGCGGATTGTTAAAACTATGTTTAAGTTGAATACTTAAAGCCAATACTTGACAATAAAAATGTCTAATTGTGTAAGTCAGTAACTAATAAAAAATCAGAAATGGTTTTTAAAATCTCATAGCCGCGGGGAGCGTGGGGTTCGGTCCGTCAGGTGCAATGGATTCTTCCAACAACCCCATCTGCTCGCTATGGACGGGGACGGTAACAGTTTCCCTTAATCTAGTCAGTCCCCTTTTGAAGTTAAACGAGATCTCCCGGCCTGAGTCAACTGGGCGCCCGACATCTCCCACAAAATCTTTAAATATTTACAAACAAGAGGAGCTGCCTCTCCCCGTCTCGGTTTCCCATCATCATTTCTATTTAAACGTTAACGGAGAGTTTTTGCCAGTTCTTCTCTTCCGTTCTACGCCCTTTATTTGAAAACAGGCAGTAAATATAAATACATTTAATATATATATTTCTTTTTTTGGTGTTCATTGTGTTACCTATATGAATAAATGATTTTGATTTGGAATTAGCCCATTATAGTAATAACTTACTTAATAGCCGCCAACGTGTCGGTTATCTCCACAGTTCCGAGGGCCTTGTTCAACGCGTGCATGGCTTCTACACCCATCGCTCCCGAACCGCGGACGTCAATCGAAGCCACTATTATACTTCGGTTGGCACTCAAATATGTATTGTAATATTCTGAAATTTTATTTAATATTAATAATTTTCTTAAATGGAAAAGCGGTGATTTAGTGGCTTATGGATTACCCTACGGTGCGTTCGTATCATGGTTATCGAACGAATTCTATATAATTAGCACTCGCTCTTACAGTAAAGGAAAATATCGTGAGGAAACCGGCACAAAAAATCGACGACAAGTGTAAGAAGGCTGTTCAAAGCAGTGTTGGTCTAGTGGCGACCCTCATCCTTGTGAATGAAAACGACGGATGCACCAATGGAATTTTCATTTCTATATGCGCAGTTAGCACTTGCTCCTATGGTGAAGGCAAACGTCGTGAGGAAACTGGGATGTCACAAAATCAATGACATGTATCAGACAGAAGGACGTGTATTAAATAAAACTGATCGAACGGAGGAAATCTGAGGCCAACACTTGGGATGTAGTGCTGCTGGAAACTTTTCTTCTTAAAAGGCCAGCAACGCACTCGTAAGCCCTCTAGCATTGAGACCTATAACTGAACATCAGGTGAGCCTCCTGCCCATTTCCCCCTGTTCTATTAAAAAAAAGATACATACCTAAATCAAAATTATCCTTAACCCTACTAGTTCCAGGACCACTGTACACTCGGACAATCATGGGGTACTTTTTGCCCTCTTCCATATTTGGGGGTAATTGTAGTTTAATATACGACATTAAATCATTATCCAAGGGCATCATGTTGAATAGCGCCATAGGTAATTTGTAGTTACTTAGTTTTTCCACTAATCTTCCGTTTCCGGTTAATAGTTTAAATCCGTTTTTCTGTCAAACAACATATTATATAATTATTATAGGATCTTCAGGCGCAGGATCAGGCACATCTGAGGCCGAGAAGCTTAGCAGCAGGGGAGCGTCCAACTTCTCCTCTGCTGAAAAGGGACATTATTTACTTAAACTAGGTCTGGTGGGTAATTTAACACACAAATATATTTACAGAACTTTATAAAATTAGCCTTGTTCTGTGCTCGAGTCTCGGCGATGTTATATTTGTTTCAATGGTTGATCCTAGCAATTTATAATATAACGAAATTTTCTTGTGAGGGTACTGCAAAAAAATACATACCTCGGCGATATAGAAGTACGACATTGATGGTAAATTAAACGCGCTGCATGACAAAACGGCGTAACTGCCACCGGGCGAGAACATACCATCTACACTATGACAGGCCGACTGGCTGCAAGTCATACACAAAATGTTCCCCTTCGAAACCGACCACAGCTGCCTCTGCCAGGGCGCGTTCCCCGGCGAAGCAATGAAAAACACAGTATCAGTCTTCTGATTCCATCCCAAAATCTCCGTCACCGTCGAATTGCCCGGCGTCAGGTCCTCCGTCTCCAACGTTTTGAAGTCAAACCGTGTGACGTGGAAGTAACGTTGTTTGTCAAACAAGCCCGGTTGGATTTCGACCATTCTCGTTCCGTTCTCGTCGAATAGCGGCTCGCGGATGTCAATCCAGCCATTCGGTTCCGTTTGCTCTTTGAGAACTGTGCAATTGTTCTGTTTGACGTTACAATCGACCAAAACGCTTATGCTCTGACGTCTGTTGAGCCAGAGAGTTAGGATGTTGTCATCGGAGGGCCAATTGACTCTACCCAAAATGTGGTCTTCGCCGATGACGTCAATCGGAGCTTTAATGTTAATTGGATCTTTGTTTGCGCCTCTCAAGTCGTATACGCGTAGTGCTACAGTTGGGTTTCTCCGACCTACCTGACCATAATAGAAAGTTGGAATATTAATTTAATTTATTATTAAGAAAATTAAGACAACCACATCTTCAGTTTTTAAATTATTTTTTTATGAATTTAATCAAATAAATTAAATAGTACTTAATATTTTTTTATTGTTATTACTATGTAGGTAAAGAATATTGTTAAATTTAAACTTAGAACAAGAAGAAAAAAAAATTAAATTTCTTTTGATTTTTGTATTATTACTAGGGATGCATCCGATACCGATATATCGGCGATACTTTGTTTTTTGCCGATATATCGGTATCGGCGATATTTTAATTGCCGATACAACGATACTTTTCAAATTCCGCGCTTAAAAAAGTACCGTAAACGCGCATCTTGTTTGATCTAGTGCGTTGCAAACTAGGCCCGGACTATCTATGCCCCTCTCACCCGCTTTGTCCCCGTATATTCCATTTCACTAGTTGGCTTTTAACTGCTATCGCGCGTAGTATTTTTTCGATACCAAATGAAATAAAATACATAATTACAAAAAGCATATCAATGTTAATTTTAATTATTAACAGTTATTTATTTCATTTTAATTTAATTATTACTCTTAATTATTAATTTTAATAACTAAACCGTTAATCTTTTTAAAATTTTGTGACTGTTAAAAATTTTAAAACTTTAACCAAACTTTTTTTTTACCTTAATTTAATTTTAATTCAATAAGCGTTGGTATCGGTATCGGCGATATTTCTATTAGAGTATCGGCATCGGTATCGTATCGGCTAAAAGGCATATCGATGCATCCCTAATTATTACTTTGTAGGTTAAAAAAATTATAAATACTGTGTAGTTGATTGTTATCAATAAAATTTTAAGTCAACTTAGAACATAATACCTCACATTACACAAATTTGTCTAATATCAAATAATTTATTTTTTCTTTCAATACCTAGTTTAAAAATCTTAAGAAATCCTATGATTTTGGATTTGTTCATAGATTTTCTGGGTTAAAAACGTAACGTAACGGGTAACGAGCAGTTATAGTACTAACCTTAGGATATTTAAATTCAATCATTTTAGGGTACAAATTGTCGAGGTCTTCGGGATCTCCATAGTAAGGGAACACTGCTGACTCGACTAAACTGTCATTGTAAATGGCAACGGCTAGGTACGATCCATTTTTCGAAAACCACATCGCTTCAGCGGCGTTCAGGATTTCCTCTGCAATATTTAAATATAAATAATAAAACATTCCAAACTAGAAAACAATCAATTAAACAATATCTTTATAATAATTTGTTAAACGGGTCTCTAGAATCAGACGTAATGTATGTGTGTGACTAAAATGTTTTGGATTTAACAAATCGACTAAAGTCTAATCGTATCTTAAGTCAAAATCTCGTCTTGAGCGCTGTGAATTGTAAAACTTCATACAGAAAAAATGGTTGGCCAGCTCTTGAAACTAGATTAAAATTTGCTTGAGTAACACGGCCTGAATAATATGAAAAACGGTGAGAATTTAAAACCATGTTTCATTTAACTTTCGACCTACCCTCATATATCCAATCAGCGACACCGCAGTATACCTTCCCTGGAACGCCATCATTGGTCAACTGTCTTACTTCCTCCGGTCGGCTTGCATCAGAGATATAGAATACATTATTATTCTCAACGTATGCTAAAGCATGGCCTTTATCCCAAAGGGCTACTTGTAAATGTCCATTTCCTATTCTTGCTATAGACCTGGAAATATTACAAAACTTGTGATGTCCTACCCTACCCTCTTGAAAGTTTTTACGTAATGACGTTTGTAGACATGACTTCCGTCCTTCAGAAACGTATTGGACATACGGAAGTAGGTAATACTTAACGCTTATACTCTGATAAACGCCCCAAAATTTGTACGGTATACTATATTAATATTATATAGTATATTATTTCTTGCTTTTAATATTTATTTAATCAAATTCTTTACACTTTTTAATAAATCAATGAAATATATTAACATGCCCTTAAGAATTTTAACATAAGCACGTATGTGCCATAGTTGCCCATTTGACTCAATCTGTTGTTTATGAATTTACGTCGAACATCCGCCCGAAGTGGGAGGGTCAAGTGGAGGGAATAGAATATACTAAAATAAGGTGTGGCACACGTGCACATCCCGCGATGGCCTAAGCCGAGGTCCAAGTCCGAGAAGTAAGTAGCCCGAGCTTAGCTGTCAAGGCCATTCAGGCCAACAGCGAGATTCCATTAAAAAAAAAGCACACGGGCATTCTTTCCCTAACTTTGAAGTGATAAAGTTTTTGTAAAATCAGTAAAGTGAATTATAGTGAATCAAGTAATTAAAGGAGAATTTCGGTTCGCTTTAAACAAGCTCGGCACTCGGATACTTGGGTGTATACGCGGCGTATCTTAAATCAAAACTTAATAATTCAAATCTCACTGTTTTAACTAAAATGCTCATTTGTCTACTTCTAGTGAATTGTGTTTTCGCTATTATGACATAAGACACTGTAATTAGACTCGTTTTATTATTATTGTTTTATTTATTATACCGTATAGCTTCCGTAAAGAACGTATAAGTCTGTGGTGAAATATTTAATTATTTCGTCCGTTGTCACGGAAATTTCACGGGCCACGCAACAATGATTTTTATTGCATTAATTTTTAATTCAATTTAAATGTGTGAACGTTTATTAAATTGTAAGGATTGTAACGTGATTGCTACCATAGTTACGATGCGTTTCGTCGAAAAAAAAGGCTGGAGAGGTTTATAATTCGAATTATACATATACAAGTCGCCTAAGGGAGTCGGATTTTAAGGTTTCGCTACAAAGTCCTATGATTTGTAGCACATTATAATGCTCGTTTTTTTTTGAGTTTTTTCTTATCCTTATCGGCGAAATAGGTTTTTTTCGCTTCCAGTATTATAGAACTTTATTAAATACGAAAAAAAGCGGATGCCACAGATAAGAAATTTAATAAAAAAATATGCAACGTCCTTGGTAACATTTTCTTCTTAAACTTAAAATTTTCTATGTATTGTAATTAAGTTATTAAAATAATACAAAATTACCTTGTAAGGACTAGATTTCATTAAAATATAAATTATGGTTTTCGTTTTCATATTTTTATTTTTTTATATGACCATAGATAATAATCGTATGAAATTAAAACAACAACAAGAATAAAATACATAATTAAAAAACTGCGTTTAAGTTCGCCAATAATTTTTAATATAAAAACATGGCAACAATCACATTACCAACTGTAGTCGACGCCGTCTCACAAGGCGAATTTTAATAATTCTTAAATTTTTTCTTCATAATTAAAATCTTAATATTCACTACGAAAATTCAACACTTATACACAGCATAACGAATCGATTCGCTTCGCATTAAGTAAAATATTTATGCAAATGAGCGCATTAAGGCACTTACTTGCTTTCCAGGTGATAAATTGAGTATTTTGCCAATGTTGAATATCTGTATACCTGTGAAACAATTATGAACCCGTAAATATATATAAATTATTATATTTTGTGAAAATAATATTAAATTACGCAAGATTAATCATTAACAGTAAAATGAATCATTATATCTGTATTATTTCTTGTTTGAGACATTTCTGCGTTTAATCTAAAGACAAGTAAAACAGTGGTTTTAAGAAAATTATTTTCGCAACCCATGACGAAATAAGCCGATATCACTCAATATCACGAGACATATTTATTGCGCAAAAGGAACGATAATTATCTCTCCCATGCAGCTGATGAATTACCTACAAGTTTGAAGTAACAAGTGTTTTATTGCTCTCGCTGCACGAAAAATACGTTAAACGAGGTTTTAATGTTACTTAATTCCTTTTAAATATTTGAACAAAGTCTGAGAGTTTTTTAAAATTATCATAAATACATTAGACCGGGCGTAAATGTAAAAAACCAGTGGCGCTACAACCTTGTAGGGTCTCGGCCACAGTTTTCTGACACGTGATAATTTTTCAATAGGAAAGCATCAGCCTGCCGTCAACAATTTTGGTGTAAGGCATTTCACTTTCCTCGCGATGTTTTCCTTCACCGTACGAGCGAGTATTATATGCGCACATAGACAGAAAGAACCTACAATATTAGAGATGAGACGCACGCTGAAAGCATTAGGTTAAATATACCACTTCCTGCGGTGTAAATAAAACTTTTCCGAAACCGAAAGCTCCATCACACATATTCCATAGAAATAAAAATTTTATTACAGAATTGTATAACTTATAGTCAAAAAGCTATAATACTAATTTAAAAAAATAAACTTCAACTCCGAACCATATATTCGCGGTTTAATCCCTGCATTTTTTTTTTAATTTGCGTAATTTGTTTTCTCTTGATTTTGACATTATTTAAATAAAAAAAAATATTGATATATGATAATAATAGTGTATGTTATACTATTTTAATTGCTATTATTTTTGTTTTGAAGCTGCCACTCCAAGACAAAACTGAATGAAAATCAAGTGTTACTAATGACAGGAAATTAAAACCGAGATGGGCCCATTTTTCTTTAATTTTTGGGAATGTATGCTTTAATGAAACAACTATTCTTTGATTCCTTTGTAATACACACCATATTAAGTTTTCAACCACAGACGTAATTTCAATACATAAAAAGAAAATATAAAAAATAAAAAGCTAAACACATTTCTTATTAATCTCCACAGACTTTTCTTTTTTTAGGCGAAATATTTAGTACTTACCTTTATTCTTTCCGAAACCAATAATAGGTATTGTTGATCGTTGGAAAATGATGCGACCGCGTTTGGTATTAAATTTGCCTGAAAAATAAAATCGTAAGTTAAAGCCTTCGTAATAGGACATACTACGTTTGTTGATAAATTAGCAATCCGAAACAAGTATTTTTCTGTCAAGAATCAACCTTATCGCCTTGAGTTTAGACTATTAATTATATATATAATATTACTGTATCTTATTTAATATTATTATACAGTCAGCTAGAAAGTTTAAAAAAAAAATTTAGTTTTATTTTATTTGTTAACTAAAACGGATGTTATTAAAAAAAATCAATTTTTTTTTTGTACCTAACAATAAAAACAATCAAAAATATATTGTCATCTTTTAGCTCATGATAAATGCACTGTACTAAATTTTGTATAAAATACAAATAAAATTAACAGTAAAGGTCGAACTTAATTATATCCTCTATTATACTATTTTAATTAATTATACGCTCTAATAATAATAATAATGGCGCCACTCTAAATGGCTCTTGGCCTCAGATTGCCTGCAATCTTTTTAAATATCATAGAGATGTAATCAGCCTTTTGACACATGTCATCGATTTTTGTATCTGACATACGAGTATACAAGTTTACTCACGAGTGCGCGAGTGCGCACATAGACAGAAATTCATTGGTGCACAGCCGGCGATTGAACCTCAGGAATGAGATGTTGAAGCCACTAGACCAACACTACATTACTCAAATATCTGGATTCAACTCGAGTAAAGAAAAACTTACCAAATCAGTTTCATTTAAGAGCTTTGTGAATTTGTCCGTCACCACATTGTATCTATAAATGGCGCCAGGTTCAGCAATGATGTATTCGGAATCTGAAAATAGTATTTTATCGTAATTTATCTTTATATATAAAAATCTTCTGTACTGGACCGATTTTGATGAAATTTTTTGTGTGTTCAAGTGGATTCGAGAATGGTTTAGATTTACAAAAAAAAAAAATTGTATTTAATTTTTTGAAGATTTTTTGGCCTGGTAACAATAGGTCTATAGTAAAAATTCATTGACGCTAAAACAATCTCTACGATGACGTCATAATCTAATACCACAAAGTTATTCCGACCGCTTGTGATACGACCTGAGACCCCAACCTTAGCCACTGGAATTCAGAGGAGTAGCAGTAGCACCTTCCTTTCACGATATTATCTATTTGTTATTCCCATGCTATAAAAGCCAGGGGTAAATTTTTTCAGCGTACCTATTTATTATTATTATTGAGATATACATACATAATTTCTTGATGTCGACGGTTCCTTGATAGGAAATTTTAACGCAAACAACATACATTATATTCCAGTTGGCAGTTTATATTAATTAATAAAGATGAAAAAATGTATTTTCAGTACAATATATAAAACGGCCTGCTATGGTTTCGCAAAGGAATATTTATTTTACATTTTAAAAACAATCGTAGCCTATGTTACTTAAGGTTAATGTGGCATTCTAATTGTGAAATCGTTAAGGTAGTTTTTGAGCTTTTTATAAACATACAAAATACACATCTTTCCTTCATCTTAGTATAGATCAAGGTCAATTAAAGTATACGCAAAATATTGTTTTGAAAACGAAGGACAAAATATGTAATCTTAAATGCAAGCGAATATACTACATACGAGTTTTATTACTCGTTTTGAATGTTCAAAAAAGAATACGCCTCTGAATTGTTTTTACTATAGAAAAAATTGGGATTAGGCTAAAAATTAAATTGAATTAAATGATTAAAGTAATGATCATTTTCGTAATTACAAAAAACCTAGCAAAATAAATCCTTTGTAAAAGAATTTATCGAGAACAAAAGATGCCGCAGCATTGTTAAGCAAACTTAATTTTTTTCCAAGTTTGAAAACTTTTCGCTGTTATTCAGGCTTACCGAATTTCACTAACTTTAAAGGGTATTAAAAATAATTAAATATGAATCCCATCAAAATGTCAAAGTCATAAAACACTCTGACTAATTTATGACTCTATTTCAAATTAGGAACATGTTTCTAATTTGTATTTAAATGACGTATAATATATTGGTTGCATTTAAGCATGACCGCTTAAAGGCTGTGGACACAAATATTATGTTCAGTTTCTGAACGAAATTATTCACTAGGATTGTTACGTAAGCGTATTGCAAAATAAATAATGGCAAAACATACGCAGAGAGTTTTTAAATTCAGAATTAACTTGCGTACATTGTTTTGTTTAGGTTACAAATAGGTTAGTAGGTCTCATTGTTTTCCATAGACACATGTATTAAAGCCGTATAAACCAACCCATTTAGGCTGCTTTAATGATATTTACTAAGCCCTATTTTGGTTCATCGCACTCTAATGACCCTACCTTGATAGGTATAATGATTTGTACCCTACCTATTATTTTTATCTATGGTTTGACTTATATATCTAAAGAATCCCCGATAAGGTAACATTTTTTGAGAAATTAAAAGGCAGTTTACCACTAAGAAGGGTTCGGTGGCCATGACATACCGCGCCTCGATATATTCTTAACACGAGTCAGTCGTAAGGATAAGGATAACATTAGTAAGGGAATAATGAGAGAGACTGATAATATAGTAACTAATAATTTTCAATAGTTCACAATACGCACATAACACTCACTAAAAAGTTAAATGGGGGGGAGGTTTAGTAACGCCTTGTAGCAAAAAAAAATATCAAATTTAAATGCGTCTAGATAACCCAAACGCAACAAAAAAGTAAGTTAACAAGTGTCACGATCGGCCGAGTTAAAATATAAAAAACCGTTTAAATACAATATGTATTTCGAACAGGCAGTGACAGACTTTTTTAGGTTCCGCTTGCATCTATGTTATTTATATCTCTACTTTTCGTTTTTTTTTGTTCTTATTGTTAAATGTTCATTCATGTTCTTACTTCTTGATGAAACTAAAAAGGTCTACTACTGCCATTTGACTTGTATAATAAATTAGAAAGTACTACTCGTATAAAGAAATATTTGTACATTATTTAAGAACCACACTGGTAAGTTTATATATTTACTTGAAATCCATTGCACTGAAACCCGTTCTGGCACAAAATCTGGTTGTAACGGCACCAATTCCTCCAACGTTAGTGTCTTTAATATCCTTTGGGCGAAAACTTCCTGAAGACTCCCCAATACGATGAAGGTCAAGAATTGTTTTAATGAAATCGTCTGTAACAATATGATTTTACATATTTGTTTATTTATATATTATATTGACACATATATAATCCCATACATTTTATTAGGACGCCATTAAATATAAAAAAAGTAAATTCCCGCGCAAACGCTCGATGACGTCAGCAATGGTTCACGAAACTGTCAAATGCCATCCATGTTTACTTGTCATTAGCACATTTCAATACATAATGGAAGTTGGAACGTTTATTTCAAACAAAAGAAAAGCATGACGCCATTATCATTTGTAAAAGACTTTAAGCAAATTAAGACCTGTCCAAAACGAATATTATTTTTTTATTATCATATTATGGTTTTTGTTTGAGATGTGTTAATAAGTTCCGATTTTATATATTCTGATAATAAATATAGCAGACCAATTGCTAGGACTACATTGGTAGTTTTTGAAGCTTGTTAATTAAATAAACCGGAAATAAGCTGTAAAAATCATTATTGTTGTTTTCCTTATATAAGAATAATTAAAAAAAAGAACAATTGCCATGTAATATAATTTTTAAACTATTCAAATGCAATCGTCATCCCTAGTGATAATTAGTCTATGGATTAAGAAACGATTAAGAATGGAATCGTCATCCATAGTGAATAGTAAAAATTAAAAAAAATATATTGTTATTGTTTTAAATAAAGTCACCGAACAACTAGACATGAAGCAAGCATAGACCAAAAAATCTGTAAGCTATTTTACAAGACAATGGAAAAATTATGGTACTGTCTGAACGTGTGAATAATAATGTTTTTGCGTAATTATCTGGCAGAATTCGGTATTTAGGTTAATTATAAAATGCCTTATGTGTTATGATGCAGGCGCCTGCATTACCTAACAATTATTATACAATTCTGTTATTGAAATCTGGCCAAGCTTTTACCAGTAAAATACGTATTTAAAAAAACTGTTTAACATTTCGAATTGATTTTCAAAACTGTTTCTATATTATTATCATGAAATTGTATTATTTATTGGTATAAATGCGCTGCCTGTGGTGCCGTATAACCTGCAAGTCCTGAGTTCGATTTCCGGCGAAATAACCTTCAAAGGTCTTAAAGATCTACGCAGTAATGTGTCAGCCCCATACCTCATTACCAATGTGACCATACAATATGTTTTTATTAATACGATGGTTCCGAGTCTTCTAAAGCAAAACTATTTTAACATTATAGATATTTTCATAACAATTTTTTTCTAACGTTACGCCGAAGGCCAAAATGGTTCATGTTTTACTATAGTTCATTTTATAATAGTTTTCCTCAACTTTTCATAGTAAATATTGGCCTGTTAAAACTTAGCTATTAACAACTGATAAAGGCGGTCACCAAACCACAATATTAAGTTTAATTAATTACTATTACTATATCAGCGAGCTATTTGTATTATACTAAAACAAAACAAAAATAAACTAAAAAACGTAATACTCCTTACCATTTTACGCGTGTACAGAGGTCGCAGGACGAGATCAATGAGTTAAGTGGTTCAAATAGACATCACACAACACAATTTCACAACACAACCACTCACCGTCGCCTGCGCCCGCGCACTACTGAGTACTGACGTCTAACCGCTACGCTACACAGCTGACAATCACATTGTTTCTTTCGATATGAACAGCCAGCGTCATTTTATAATTAATTGATTTTATATATATTTTGTTATTACGTCATTAAAAGGTCAAGCTCAAAAGAACGATGTGTAGCCATGAAATCTCAAACGAAGCTCGACTAGCCGTGCTATGGGAACTGCTTATCCGGACGTTAACATACGGGAATGTTGGGTGTGACAGAGAAAGAATGAAAGTAAAATAAAGAAATGAGAGCGTAAAGAAGTGTGTGGTGTAACATTGCGTGATAAGTAATAGTGAGATACATGAGCAGTGTGGGTTTAAAAGTGACAAGGATAAGAAAGGGATTGCTTAGGTGGTTTGGCCATGGAGAATGGATGAATGAGAAACGGTTAACAAGAAGAATATACAAGGCTACCGTGGGTAGTAATGTTGGGTAGGCTTTGTCGTACTTGGACCAAATCCAGATGGTAGGAAAAGGACAGGCTAAAATAACCCATAATCGACGAGCATGCATGATGAATGTCATGAAGAGGATGAAGCTAGAAAGCTATGTCAGGACCGTAGCAAGTGGTTATCTCTGGTCTCTGCCTACAGTTAATTTATATTATCGCTTCTTATTTAATTTAAAGTATAGTTTTCTATTATTGCTAAAATGTAGCGGTCTTGAATTGTATTGACCACAACTTGAAGTCAAGACTCTTCTAAGTATTATGTCACGAGAGCTGTCGCATGACATAGAAATTTTTCATAGAAAATAAGAAGTTAGAGTTTATGCCGTAAAATACCATAACTTAATTGCTATAAAAAACAATGGCGCTACAACCTTTTTAGGTCTGGGCCACAGATTTCTGTATCTTTTTCAAGATCATTTGTCAATCTAATAGGCAAGTAGGTGATCAGCATCCTGTGCTTGACGCAAGCTGTCGACTTTTTGGGTCTAAGGCAATCTGGTTCACTCACAATGTTTTCCTTCACAGTTCGAGCGAAAGTTAAATGCGCACTTAGACGGAAAGTCTATTGGTGCACAGCTGGGGATCGAACCTACGTTCTCAGGGATGAGAGTCGCATGCTGAAGACCAACACTGCACCTTAATTGCTACAGAGTGTCTAAAAGTCAACAAGATTGCCCAAAAAAGTATCTCCGCCACATACATGATACAAAACTATTTACATAACGCTAACAAGAAATATGTCTCAGAATAATATTTCCACCAGGTGAAATCGACGCCGCTTTATATGCAAAATAGTGCATCCTTTAGTCCTGTCCTAAAGCTAGTACACATAGTACAAGCCTCCAACTTAAGTTATATATTTCAGGAGACCACAGATGATTGGGTTAATATAATCTAACCTTTAGAGTGAGATTCATTTGACAGCTCGAACTGCTATTGAAATACATTTTGACATACAGTATTACCGCTAAAACACGATCCTAGTCATAAGGGCTTGGCCACAGTTTCTGGCGGTGCGGAGCGCGGCGCGGCGAGAGGCGCGGTTTGCGGTGGTATGCCACAGCTCGACCAGTTGCGACCGCGGCGATAAAAACAAAATTATTTGTTTTGGTCGCGTGATGCTAAATGCGTCCACCACTGCCGCTGCGCGCGCCGCTCTGAGCTGTGGCCGCCTCGATACTCCCGAGTGCATTTGTTTCACTCGCACGCCGCGCAGACCGCCGCTGCGGCCGACGCGCGGCTAGCCACCGCGCCCCAGGTGCACCGCAATACGCGTCGTCGTTAGCTGTGGCATACTTCATACAATTTGCTCAATTTGTTCTTGCCGCTCGGCGCTTTACGCGCCGCAGGTGACTGTGGCCAAGGGGTAAAGGTAGCCTAACCTAATTTATTTAAAGTTTGTCACGTTTATTCTATACAAAGTTTACGAGAGGTCAAAACGTGCAATAGCTATTTGAGCCGTATAATACATAATATTACGTTGTTCATGAGTATTCATAGCTTTTAAGTTCTGGAAAATGAGCGCCGTCAAAAAGAACACAAATAAGAATTAAGAATATGGCCGAGATACACAGCCAAGTAATTATAAATTTAAAATTACAGACAGACATTCTAGTGATGACTTTAGTAGTCACTTAAAAATAAATAGAATAATGTAGTAGAAATGTTTTTAAAACCATCCCTGATCAATCAAAAAAAAATGTGTCATGGTTTAGGTAATGTCAGTCTTATACTAAGATGGCGACTGGAATAACGCTAGTAAGGATACTAACGCCGACGTTATACTAGGTTTCAGTTATTCCGGGTTTATTAGTAGACATTTGGCTTATTCTTAGTTTATTCTTGATATAACATTTTATACCACGTTTATTTATACCATTGTTAGAGTTTAAACTTTTAAATCCCCTCAGGTGTACCTGCTAAAAGAAAAAGTGGGTTTTGATTAGTAACATATCTTAGGAAGGTAAAACAATTGGGTACATTATGAGTCACTAACAGATATCTTTTGACGACAAGTTTTTCCCCTTTTTCGTGATAAGCCCGATCTGAATTACTGTTTATTTTTCATATGAATTGCAACTAAAATCAGTTTGACATGTGAGCAAACATCGCTTTGTAAACAGTTTATTATAAGATCTTTAAGATCGTATGAAATATATAATGTAATATCTAGTTATATAATAGTTCGATAAAGTTAATGTAAAATTTTGCGGGGTAATATTTTGGTACACGTAACTTAAAGATTTTGCGTTCACGCTTCCCGGATTGTCGTGTGTTCTAGGGTCCTTTTTGATCGGTGAGAGGAAGCCAATCACCTCGTCTGGAAGGTCAATGTGCTTATGATATAATCTGGGCCGGTTTTGCCTACATTATAACAGTTATTTAATAATATGTAATGTTTACGGTCAATCTGAACTGGCCATGGAATGTAAGCAGTGCTAGGGATTATTTTATCGCATTCATGGGTATGAAATAGCTGTTGTAAATCATAAATTTAGATGTACATATTTACGTTCAAAGTTCAACGAGTAATGAGCAAGTACCCTTGAATTTTCTGACTGTGAAACATTAACGCTACTCATTTGATATATAATTGTTTGAGGATTCTTTTATAGTATGAGTAACTATGACAAAACTTTAAAAGCGCACGAAAATCATTGAGTTTTCAAAGTTTAATTTGTGTCCCATATTCTACTTTTATCCTTTACCATTAATTACAATATTAGTGTCATGGAGATCTTGTAGCAACTTCATTTAACTGTATGTATATTCATGAATCGTTCGTAGACAATATAAATATTTTGCAAGGTTTAATAGCTTACATCAATAACAGAAACCGAACAAAAACGACAATCAAGTGTCGCTTTGTCACGCTCTATTTTGTTAACCTTTTATGTAAAGTTTAAAATTAATCACGTAAATGTTAAGGTTGTTCAAATATTATCTTGGTATAAAACATTTTTTTTGTAAACTAACTCACAAATATAGATATTTACATTATTCTTAACCTAACCGTGGGGTTCAAGTGCACAAGCGCTAATTAAAGATTTAAGTTGGTGACCACAGAACTGGACGCAATACAGGAAGTAATGTAAGTAATGGCAGCATTACTTACATTTTACTTATTGTATTAAAGATACAATTCACACCTAGCTTTTTAAATTTGTTTTAGTTTTCTGTTTATCCTTTTTTAATTATTATTATATATTCTATGTAGTTTAAGAATATTGAAGTATTATTGATTTCGTATCTCATATAAATCGAAATTAATTCATCAAATAACATGAAAAGCAAGGCACTTTTTGATGGTATTCTACTTCGTGGAACGCGATGCCAGTAATGAGTTTTTGTACTGCGCGAAGGTTTCGAAATCAGCGTTACGGATATTAAGAAAACAACTTTAAACTAGCACACTACAACAGAATCTGTATCGATGTCGCTATTGGAAGTCCAAGCCCAGGTTACAAGCATAGCGTGACGAGGTATTTATTACAACACAAGTGTACATCTTTAAAGTCTGACAAAAACCTTAAACCTTTCGACGTTGCAGTCGTGCATGGGCGATGGTTAGACCTTTATTCTGCCCTACCTACCTACCTATCTGCATATAGGTAACTCAAACTATAATCTTATAACCTGTATCCAATACCTAAACCATATTCTTATAACTCAAACCCATTCAGAGAAAGCCGTCAAATAAGTTCTAAAAAGTCGATGCGAAATTATTATATTGATTTCAGTCAGACACTTGCTTACATTGACGTTTTATTGGTTTAGCTGTTTATATTAATTGTTTATCGTTTATTACCTTAATTAACCTGTATGCTTAATTAATTAATCTCAGGGCAAATAGACTTCGTTAAATAATAAAGTCAAGCAACGATAGGGAAGTGTGATAGTTATATTTTTAAGGCTTTTAGTGACTATATTTTGCTTGTAAGTCACAAATTAAGATACATCTATGTTAAGTACTTAACTATAGAACAAATCAACATCACAAAGTTTTCCAAAAATACTTCCATAGAGTTCTTGTCTCTATATTATTTAAATGCACTCTGTGCCAATTCGAAGCCCATAGAGTTTAG